AGCAGCGACTATCCATATGACCTGACTACCATGCTGGATATAATGTGGTATCAGGGCCATTGTCATGGAGTGGTTGAGATTACACGACTCTGAAAGCATGCATATTATTGGTTGTTATTATCTCTCAGAGTGTGGTGGTGCCTTCACCAGCAAACTGGAGGGTATGTTCAAAGACATGGAGCTGTCCAAAGACATCATGATTGCATTCAAACAGGTATGAGGATTAAGGAGAGCGTTTCCCCAATGGCCAGCAATGTCACCCTCATTGAGCACTCCATAACCTGCCGTGTGTGCTACTCGGCATGCTTTTCATTCCATGTTTGTCCTCTTCTAGAACAAGAAATTTCCACGTAGTTCTGATTCAAAATGAAAATTGGCTTTTATTAAAATACAGCACTGTTTCCCGGTCAAGATCTCTGGAACTTAATTCCTGGAAGCATCAGTGTGACGTGTTACGTCACAGTGTGCAATTTAGGTGATAAGTCATGAGTGAGTTGTCACAATGTGCACCTAACAATTCCATTTTATTATTTCTGAAAGAGTATGCTTCCCTCTCAAAGGCAAGAAAAACCCTAGAGGTAAAACTTCACACACAGCGTAATATAAGCCGTGCAGAATATTTTCTGTTGAATAATTTGCTTTCATTTTGTTGTTCTTCAATGCAGCACATGCAACATCAAAACATCCCTGGTAACATAGATCTAACGGTCAACATTCTAACCATGGGCTACTGGCCAACATACACACCCATGGAGGTTCATTTACCTTCGGAGGTAAGTCGTCACTCTTAAATTGTCGTGATGGGGGTTTTTTGCCTTAAAAACCTTTAGTCTGCTTTTAGACAGTTGTCTGCAAGATGTTTGAGTTGAAAGTGCCATACCTGTTCGTGATCAAAAGCCCAACTTTTACTGGTCCATCAGTCAAAGCGTGCCTGGTGTGATTTTCGCTGTTGACCAGGCTTGCCCATGAAGACGCTCACAAGTCATATGCACTAGTGTGAGTGAAACATGCGCACACAAACAGCAACAACTGCTCTACATGTGCACTGCAAGCGAAGACACAGCTGCGCATGTACATACGCATGCCACTTTTCCCCCTGCTAATAAAATTGTAATGGCAACTGAATACGTCTGATCCGATGCTCACAGTCGTTTTTCGCCTTGAGGGCCAGTTAGTCAGCTTTCGATACCTGTGACTGTAATGAGGTACAAATTGCCGCCACTGTTTTTTTTTTCCAAGATGGTCAAGCTACAAGAGATCTTCAAGCATTTCTACCTGAGCAAGCACAGCGGCCGCAAGCTGCAGTGGCAGCCCAACCTGGGGCACTGCGTGGTCAAGGCACAGTTCAAGGAGGTATGAAAATGTCGGGTGCTACCGCCAGCCCTTCCCCTAAAGGGGGATCAGATGTTGCCACAAGCAGGATATTCAGTTCATCACTTGGTTGATGACAGCACGAAATCAATGTGAAATGAATTCCTAAAATGGCCGGCGCAGTGATTCCACCATTAGGTGGGTTGGTCCCGAGTGTAGACTGTCACGTACCAGGGCTATAAATAGGTGTTGAATTTACAGCAATGAGCAGCCCTAAGTGCACATTTTCCAATCAACTTGACCTCTATCCTTTGTTATCCGGTTCATAAGCAACTTCTTCACAAAGGCCATGTGCAGGCTCTCATTGGACAATCGCTGAAGTTGCGCGTTAACTTCCACGGTTCCATGCAAATGGCGATCAATGCATGTAGCCCTATGCGTGCTATGTGCAGTGCACGTGTGCAGTGGGTGTGGTGTAAACTGAAGTGACGTCGCACTTACGAACCGGATTGGCAGCCTGTGGTGTATTTCCCTTCATATCCTGCAGGTCAAGGAGCTACATGTGTCATTGTTTCAAAGCCTGGTTCTTCTCATGTTCAACGAAGGGGACGACCACTCGCTAGAAGACATTGCCCAGGCTACCGGCATAGGTGGGTGAAAGTGTTTGCCTACCTGCCTGGAACAAAACGTCCAGGTTGACTCAATAGCGTCTATCTTTGCCTGGTCTCTCTCGGTAATAATAGTGACCGTACAAACACTTCATGTAGTCTTGAGTTGCGTCTCAACTTGTCATGCTTAGAGATTCAGGGACGTCGTGTAACTTTAGGTTAACAAAGGAATTTGGGGGACAGGGTATAGTAACCCTCAAAGGGCTGAGCTTTTTACTTTGGGGGAAGCTTGGAATCTTGGCTGTCCCCCAACTGAGATTTTTGAAACCTAACCGTCATGTGAAGATATCCATTATTTGGCATCAGGCCAACATGTGATTTTGTTGTTACGGCCATTCATAGTTCACAATTTCACATTAAAATGTGAGAAAAAACTCACGGGGGACATCTCCTACCCAGTTTCTTCTTTTGTAACCTCACATCTGAATTATTTGATATGGCTTCAACAGCAGAGTGGTTACACCTGTTGCGGACTGAAAGAGCAGGTGGCTCTGTGGGACTGCTGACAGTGATCTCTGTAATTTCTGCACTGATTCATTTGTAAATATCGCTGTTATGCTGTTGTCATTCTTTGACAGAGGACACAGAGCTGAGGAGGACGTTGCAGTCTCTGGCTTGTGGGAAGGCCAGAGTTATCACGAAAACGCCCAAGGTACATGTCCACCTGTAACAAGAGATCAGACCCTCTAACTATTGTCCATCACAGAAGTCTCAGAGCTGTCACCATTAGATACATCAAACCCTTCCTAGGTTATAACAGCCTTTGCATATTACCCATACTATTTCATTAGGTCCCTGTGCTGATGAAGCCACACTTGGTTTACATAAATTTGTGCTTTTCCATAGAGCCATTTGGGGCCCATAGTTAACTGAGCCCTATGTAGCACTGAAGTGAATGCGTCACACACACACTCAAATGTGTATTTGCCTGCAACTGGGGACCCCCTATTGTTCCTCTTTTGTTTGTACTTTAACTATTTTAGAAGACCACCTGTATGTTTTGTACACAGTTGTCAATTGGGGACCCTCTGTCAATTGGGGAACGTATTGTCCTCTATTGTTCAGGGTCCCCAATTGCATGCAGAAACAAACTCACGCACACTTATCTGTGTAAAAGGTATTAGCACGAGAACCAGTGCGTGAATGAACGTGCACATGTAGTCCATTAATTTACACTGCACTTCCCGATTCAAATGACTCGATGCTTTTGCACTCTATGGGAAACAGTGTGTGTCATCATCGGTACAGAGGGCTATTGACAGACCACCTGAGAGGTTGTTAGCATTTTATTCTCTCTCCATATTCAAGATCTATTCATAACCTGTGTTGCATGTCGAACATTCAAACATGCATGCTGATATCTCCATTTTGATGGCATTGCTGCAAACCAAACATTATGGATATTGTTTACTCAGCCACTGAAGTTGTTATTGCTTTTGTAAATAGTGTGAAAAGTGGACCTATATTTGTTTGGGCTCTTGTGCATTAACCACTTTCCTACGTTTTCAGATTTGTTTAAATAATTCCCAAATCATTCACAATCCATCAGGACGGTTGGATGGTTTTTGTACAGCCTATGTAATATTACTGTATTTAGGACTTCATGCCTTTGTACATGTAAGTTCAAGTACAAAACATCACCGGGTTTTGCGCTTGGGTGGATCTAGGCAGATTCCCAGTAAGTCTGTCAGTGCTGAGATATCCAGGGACAGCTTCAGAAACACCTTTTCAAAACGACCAGGGAAATCTTGAAATTTGCTTTCTGTTTTTTCCCCATGGAGGGGAGAGATATAGAAGATGGTGACAGGTTCAGCTTCAACGGTGACTTCAAGCACAGGCTGTGTCGCATTAAGATCAACCAGGTCCAGATGAAAGAAACGGTAACTTATTTCCTTTCAAAATGCACGAATTCTAAATTAGGTCCTTGGGACGTTGTTAGGAAAGCTCTCTTGTTGTGGTATTATAATGCTAAGCCCAGTGGCTAATCTGAAAAAAAATTAATTCCTCTGAAAAATTTGTGAATACTCTAGAACATACATGTAAACGCTGCAGATGATAACTACAATCTTGGTTTATATTGGGGTGGAGGGGCTGATATCGTCACTGCAGCAAGGTTGAATTGGCTAGGATATAGCGCTCAATGCACTCAAGCCAAAGGCATGTACATGTAGAGGCCCCCTAGGCAGCTGTCAAATGACCCATATCCAGCCACTGAGTGCAGCCAGAGATCTAAATTTGCTGTGCTGAGGAGGACAATTAGAGATCCCAGAGGAAGCGTCTTTGCTACAGGGCAAAACCAGGGAACAACTCCACTCGCATATGGCCCCGGCTGGGAATCAAACCTGGCATGGCCATAGTGGTGGGAGGTGACTGCTTTGTGCATTAGCCACTTGTATTGAAGAAGTCTGAAAAGGGGGATTTGCCAGATAATGCATGCACTGTGGCATGTTTGTATGCAGCTCACATGCATTTCTAAAATGTAATATGTAACAGTACACAGATTCATCAGTTCATCAACGTGGAAGCCTTGGAGAATCGTATACATGTAAAATCAGTGAGATTGGGCTGATGCATCATTTCATCAAAATGCAAAACTGAGTTTGTACACGACCAGTACTTTGTGTTATTAGCGAAATTTAAGAACAGTCATTTTTGTCTCAAATTTTTTTTTTATCATGTCGAGGACATTATCAAATGTTGGAGGATCCAGAAACAGAAAATTGCCTGAAATTGCAGTGCTAGGTGGTTCTGTTATGTCTTTAAACTGGTGATGGGTTTTTTCCTTGACAATGTCCCAGGCGGAGGAGCAGTCCAACACCCAGGAGAGAGTGTTCCAGGACCGGCAATACCAGATAGACGCCGCCATCGTCCGCATTATGAAGATGCGCAAGACCCTCACCCACACGCTACTGGTGTCGGAGCTCTACAACCAGCTCAAGTTTCCCGTCAAGGTAAGGCACCATCTCTGAGACTTGAGAAAGCCTCAGTGGCAGTTACTCAAACTGAAACATGACAGTCGTCCACATACTAAGCACAGGACAAGGATGCCTTGTCTCGACTGAAGCCGCTGGCGTCCATCTTACCTTGCCTATTGTACAAATATAGTTGTACATGGTTGTAGACTCACATTTTTATATGGCTTCCTTACCACAGAACTTTAACCACTTGCTGCCGGGTAGCACGGTTTCAGGTACCATGGCTTTGTAAGCATAGCTGGGGTGCCTTAAAATCAGACAAAAGAGCTGGGCCTTGTAACAAAAGACCATACTCGGAACAAAAGACTGAACTGCTGGGAATTTCCAACATTTTTTTCAGTTGTCAGTAGCGGAGGAAATCTGTCATTGTTTTGAAAGATTATACTACTGTTTGTGGCATTCAGGGCGAGCAGATTACCACTGGTGACAAAAGCACTCCAGCACTCTAGTGATGAGCGATACAATACCACTGCATGCTAATCTGGCCCGTATTGAAAAGATGCCAGCAGCACACTGTGCCAGTCTGGGCAATCTGGGCTCTTTTTTCAAGGCGGCAGGTCTGGTTGAAATCCTCGGGCATCAATAGATGTTGTCCGTCAGATTAGAGTAGCCACCAGATAATCACTTGATGGGGTTTAGCCGTTTAGGAAAAAAGTCATGAATTTTTGAAGGGTTTTGAAAATTGAAGATATTAAAATAACCCGGTTTTAGACACTTCATTTCTAAAGGCACCCGGCAGCAAGTGGTTAATGTAGCTGACGATGTTGCACTTTGTTCACATGTGCACTTTCTTACAGGAGCCAGTTTGGACCTACGGTCCACTGAGCACCATTGGAGAGCAAACACCTAAACATAGGGCCTGTTTGTTTCACAAGGATCTGGATCTCAATCAGTAATCCTGATACTCATTCTCACCCTCCATTTGGCGAGTTTTCGTGTCCAAATCACTGATGATGATCCAAATCTGTGGGAAAGAAACACGGCCAAAGTATGGTGTCATCAGTACAAAGGTCCACTGAATGAAGGACTGATTACTGAGGATTGAAACGATGTTTTATTAACTTCGTGAGTCTGTTCCTTTGGGTGAAGTAAAACATTTTGACGGGCAACTGCCTGTATGTATGCGTGTACTAATTTGTGAGGGCCGGTTCTAGAGCATCTTTGTTCCAAAGCTTGCAAAAGGGGGCTTGCTTAACTTTTTAATTTAAAAACTTTTGTAAACAAGAGGGATACAATTGAAGCTGTTTTACACACTTTGTGTCCAGTCCCTGACAAAAAGAATAATTTATTCTAATTCAGCATTTTACATTAATCTTAGAAGGCCTTACAAAAATGCATCAATACGTCAAAAAGTAAATCAGTTAATTATAGGTACACAAAGTAAAAAAATGACATCTAAAAAGAAAGATGAATTGTTCGAATGTGTTGTGGGGCAATTTAGTCAGGGATTTTTTTACCAAGATGTGACATTTCTTATTGTTCTGTACGCTTTTGAGTCTCAACAGTTAGTAGCGGTACATGTAACACCTGTGTTGTACCCACAAATCTGGAACGGGTATGTATGTCCTAGACATATCCAAGGGGTCGTGGCGTTCAAGGAACAACAGCAGCGTAATTTGGAGAGTGGAATTAAAAGCTGTTACTGTGGCTCAACGCTGGTGGAGAGGTACCGAATAGTATGCGCGTGTAAAATTCCTCTTCCACCAGTAGGATGCTGTGACTTGTCAAATGCAGGCATTATGACACCCCCTTGGATTGGTCTACAGGGACAGTGAAACCTGCAAGGCAATCTGTGGGAATACTCGTATTTTGTGTGAAAAATTACAACTCTGTCGAGGCAAAGGAGAACAAAAGAAGGGAAATTATGGTACCCCATTGACACAATTATTGATGCGTGTATTTGCCACTATGTTGAACGTAGCGTTTCTTCCCTCATCTTTCAGCCATCAGATCTGAAGAAGAGGATCGAGAGTTTGATTGACAGGGATTACATGGAGAGAGACAAAGACAATCAAAACCAGTATCACTACGTGGCCTAGTAGCCTCCTTTCCAGCAGTTTGACCACAGCTGACCTCAGTGTGGATTGGCTCTAGCTGTAAATGGACACCTCCCGTGCAGGTCTTCTTGGTAGTTTTTTTTTTGGCTGTGTGACTGGTGAGGTGAGATCACTTGTGATAGCCAGGCAGTGGACCGCACCTTGATGCTCTGTAGACTAGTCTGGCACCCTAGTCTGATCCCCTCCCCCCTGCTCAGTGTACAGTGTGTTTCCTTACTGGCCCTGCAAATTGGTGCGGTAAGTGATGTCTGGCTTGTGGAGTCCACGCATTAACAGGAGCGTACAAAGACAACCTGGGATCTAACCCTTCAGAGTCTAGCCTGAGGAATCTTTGTGGAATGCAAAGCAAGTCCTTACCAGTGATCCAGGAAGAGCAGACTGGTGGAGGAGACTACATTTCTGGATTCTGTTTGTAGATGAATACGTGCACCAGTGTTCCCCATCCTATTTTGTACTACACCAATTGCCATTATCAGTTAAGTTGTTAGTCTTCATACCAGCACATTCACTGAATACAAAGGAAGAGTCCAATCTTTTCAGTGCTTTTTTCCTGTAATCTATTGGTGAAAGCAAATGTAAATGCTTTATATTGCTGTCATTTCTGTTCCAATAATTTTATGTAACTCCATCTGCTGTAGGTAAAGATTACTTAATGCATAGGTTCCATGTATATGCAGTATTCTTTCATGTCCAGTCATGATACCAAATCGTACTTGACATCCAGTGCCTATTTGGGCAGGAGGATACAACTTTTTGGGAGTTGTTTTTCCTCAAGTACAATTTTTCAGTGCACTCAAAGGGATCAGTTCATATATCACAGTGACACTTGAGGCGAGTGTCGCAACTGTAAGCTTTCAAAATTTTTCTTCTGGTAATGGAGTTATTTCTATTACCAGTGTTGGCAATCTGGACATCTGTGGCCCTTAGGAGATTATTGCATTGCCAAAATTATGCTGTTGATTTGAGTGTGAAAGGCTGAAATGCACACAGTTACATGTATCTTCATAGAGTCGGATTAAGTCAGTCACAAGTCAATTACTGGTCAGTCCACAAGTCAGTACGCAGTTCAGTTCAATGGTATCAGTATACGATGATGAAAGAATGTTTTGTCCAGTTCATTTAAATACATGTAGACTGTGAGTTGATTTGTGACAGAAACGACTTGTGTGCCTGTCTGTTGGTGACTTTAGCCTGACCCTATTACATCTGATATGATCAGAGTTTTGGAGTTGCATGTATTCAGCTGAAAGTCTTAGTTTCAGGAAACTGGTCAGCCAAGAACTCTTGCATCTAATAGGCTAAGCTTCATCTTCAGCTTAATTTATTTGAATTTGAATGGTACATCTGGGGTTTTCTGGTTCAAATCCAGGGCCCAGTTTCATGGCTTTGCTTACAGTTAGCAGAAAAACCTCACTAACTGTGTGCAGTTACCATCGGCAGATTTCACAGGTTAACAAGGAAATTTGGCTGATGCGGTGTAAATCCTGTTGCTTAAGATTCTGTGCCAGCTCGACTAGCACAAAGTTTTTGTGCACATTTTTTTATGCTAGCGCTTTTAAGTGTGGAATGCTGATCAGGAGCACAGAATTCTGTAGTTAGCAAAGCCATGAAACTGGGACCACATTCATTTAAATCTGCACTGTAAAAATTTGTCATCCATCATGGAATGCACCGCACGTTCACTTTTCCTTCGAACTTGCTGTTTTTCAAAGCTGACTGCATCCTTTGTCTTGATACATGCCCCCCCACCCCAGCCGTGACATTTTCTTTTGTCTTTTGGATAGCAGTGGATCGTCATTCAATTTTTTCAAGAACACGTTAGTTCAGTGCCAGTTCATGAAGTTTGTTAATTCACTTTCTGTAAAGGTGGGAAAAGATTTTAAATATAATGTTTAGATGGAAAACTCATGGAAGCGACCCAGTGACATGTAATTACTGTAGAACTGGTTGGTGTGAGACCCTGAGAACATGCAGCCAAGGACGCAGACGTATGTGGTTCTTCAAGAGGAGTGTGACTGATGTCTTGCTCCCTTTTTTATTCAAGCACATTTTTCCCCGAGATATTTGTTCAGAAAAATTAAGCATAGTTGCAGAAAAGTCGTACATTTCCCGAAAATTTCAAATTTGCACCCAAAAATTAAGCATAGTTGCAGAAAAGTCTTATATTTCCCGAAAATTTCAAGTTTGCACCCCAAAAGGTGATTAACACTCAGTTGTCTCTATCTCAGATATTTCCTACCGCTAGAACTTCACCTTTGCAGATAGCTTTGTAGTCCTATTGCCCATGGAAGACCATTACTTTTTTGTAGTAATTTCCCAAGCATTTATCATGCTAAATTGTAACAAAACTGAAAAAAGCCTGTAATGCCTTTCTCCACTCAGAGTAGCACTGTCAAAATGTTTCATGGGAGAAGTACAAAATTGAGCGACTGGGAATTAAATTCAATCAGTCCCATCCTATTCACTGGCTGTTGGTCTTTGTTTTAATAACCACATATTTTAAACATGAATTAAAAGAACAAGAAAGCATACATGTAATATATGCCGCTTTGATGTATTAAGCTGCCAGTCCGGCTTCGGGTTACTGGAATCGATGGATTTTACTGTCAATGAACTTCGATTGGCCACACGAAGCTTTGATTTACACAGCTATGAATATGTCATGTTTTTGACATCCTGAACCAAAGTACATGTAGCTGCGCTTCGCATTCATGAATGTCATTCGGCGCCACCTTTGTCACACTCGGTGGCATGAATTTGTTGGACAGCCCACAACCAACAAAATCACATTTCATTGGCTAGGCGCTTGAGAAGTGTTGATTTTTCCCATTTTGGGCGGGGCTTAATTTTTAACTGTCTTCTTTATTTAATGTAAAAAAGATGGCACCTGAATGTCTCCAAACCCTTTGTCGGGTTAGCAAAAGCAGTTGTGATTGGTCAGAAATAAAGGTTCTGCAGTAGCCTGATTTAAGATTTTCTTGCAAATTTTAGGTATTTTTGGTACCATACTTGGCGTGTCAACATTTCCTGCGTACCTCAAATCTCAGGCAGAAAGTTCAAAGCCCGCTGACTTACCCGGCTGACATTCTTTTTACTTTAAACAAGTTGTATCCTTTTGCATGAGTAAGTTAGATTCTCTACAAGAAACAGCAACATTACCTAATTTGGGAAATAAGTCCTTGTTTTTGTACAATATGAATGTTTAGTTAAAATCCAAATTGTGTGTTTACACTGCTATTGCTATATCTAACTTATTTTCTGGCCCTGAAAAAGATTATTTTGTAAGCCGAATATTGCACAAGTTAGCTTGAAGTGTCACATAAAGTAACTTATATTCAAGCTGGTTTTGATAAAATAACAAATGACATGTAAGCGGTAAGACTTTTGTGAGAAACAAATGGCCAGGGTTATTGTAAGAAACTTCTTAAGATGTTGATTAAACAATTAACTATGAAAACGTGAGTAAAGCTTTCGATATTCAGATTTGTTGGTTTCTTTTTAACGTGACTTTCATTGCCTTGACGACTTGGCATCGCACTACCACTAGGGGACCGTGACGACCTGCTTTCCGGAGTTTTGCAGGTCAGGGCCAGGTATTACCACAAGGTGGCATAGCCACGGGTAGCGGATAAGTGCGGATCTGGGCGACTTCCCGCTCCGCATTGGCGGAGCAAGCTATGCAAACTACCAACGTACCGGTACGTGTACGGACTGCTGTGCGCGCCCAGCCCGAACGTTCGTGTGCGCGTGGCCTGTCCAGTCGGAAGACCGGAAATGACGACCAGTCATAACCTGTCGCTGTGTGTAGCATAATACATGTACTGTACATCACTCATACAACACAGGGACGTCCATGTACAGGTTATGATGGTACAAGAACTGTACTCTTCCGGGGAGGGGTTTTTTGTTATCTGTGGCGGGTCGAGCTGTAAGACCATAGAGCTGGGTTGTAGCTCTATGGTAAGACCATGGAGGAAGGACACGAAAGTACACGAGGTCAAGAGGGCATTTCGAGGATAGGATGCCACAAATCTGGCAGAGCACAAAGACCTAGGCTGTTTTCCAATACTGAACTTCGGCTCCGTCTCAGGCTTCAACTGTTTTTATACTAGCTGACTTTGAAGCTGTAAGCGCAGCGATCAGTGTAATAGTGCCACAGAACATCAAATAAGACGCAAGAAAGCCAAAAATTACAGTTATCCGATGTAATCCAAACGTTTCAGGCCCACAATCGGGGATTGGTTTTTGGAACGAAGCCTGAGACGGAGACGAATTAAGTATTGGAAAACGGCTCCAGCTAGCTGGAATCACCCTGGACCCGTAAACAGGACCCCGATTATGTATACTCCTTCGTCTGTATATCGGGTCCACTGCAGACTAGTCAATGGCATGGCCAGATGGCAGCAGCCAGCCGAAGCCAGGAAAGTCGACGCGCCCTGCTTTTAAGATTTCCTTACCAGCCATTGAAAAAGCCCACGTGGCGCTAGCTCTATAATTGTGGCCTACACTGTACTGAGTACAGCTGGCAACCTCCCTCCCGGCTTGTCTGTGCTAACGTTACATCAGGCGCGGCGTAGAACACGTAGAAAGGAGCTTTGAAGAGAGACCTGATTGTACACGGCACTTCTACTTCAAGTCCATCATACCGTGAGACCACTTAATAATTCCAATTCGAAGAGGAGTTTCCTTAAATTGGCATTTAGTGGCTTTTGCATCTGAACTCTTCGGACAAAATAGAAACTAGGGGCCATGGCTTGAAATTACTATAACCATGGAGGTATGTGATTCTACCTCCATGCTACTCACTATGGGAACTGGCCGCGGTGACTTGTGTGTAATTTTAAGCCACAGTTCGGATATAGCCAGACTACATACATACATGTAGTCGCACTCTGCTGGGCCCTAGGCTGGCAGAGATTTAGTAGGACTGGTAGATTCATGCCATCTCTGGGGACTTCTGTCCTACTGAAGAGGACAATTTGGTGCTAATTTGTATTCGAATTAACTTGCATGATAATGTCTGCTTAAACTTTGCGATAAATACAAGGCTTTCGAAAGTACAGTATTTTATTCATAGCTTTTGCGCTTTAAGATTAAAGCTCTTAGGCCTAATTATTAAATTTTGATGTTAACTGAACTTGAGAATCATGGTGGTTGGATATCTTTCCTTAAATTATGCTTGGTATTTTTGCTGCTCTTATTGCTGAGAAACTTGGGAAATTTCTCAGTCATAAGTGGCAGCCAAAATGTCTCACATAACAGGGAAATTCCCCTTGCTTTCAAGAGGGTAATGGCCTTTTTAAACCGAAGAAGTGTTTCAAGGTTTCAATGAATTTTGATGGTGTGTCAGCAGTGTTCTTTATGAGTGTTCTTTATACCCGTTAGTTATGAAGAGAGGTTTAGTGGACCCCTACAATGGAGTATACCCATCATCGCGGACCACACGATTGTGGCTATATGTGCATGTACATTGTGTGCGTCCACACCATATTCATGTACAGGTCTATCCTCGGACCAGAGTTGCGCATACATTACGATGTGTCAGCCAAAATAAAAGGGTCATTGTTGCTAACTTGTGAGCAAACTCTATTTTGGCCACAAAGAGCCTGCACTATCATTCACCTCAGTTTGTTTTGTGTTATACTCAAAAAGTTTTAGATATCAGTACCTGCATTTGCCAGTTGAAAGGAAAAGATACTGACGGTTAAGAGTTCGTAGTGAGAGGACCAAACAAAACAACCCCCAAAAACACACAAAGTAGACGCAGCATTTTTTTGTTTTTGTTTTTTATTTAGTCAGACCCATTTTTTTTAACAAAACGTTTTCTGTATCAGGTTTTTATTGGCCATAATTCCTACCAGTTACTGTAAAGTTTAACATGAATCAAAAATCCAGTAATTTCAGTTTTTAGTATCCCTAATGGAAAACTCCTTTGAATGGAGAAACAGATGTTTTTTTGATTTAAATCCAGTGTCCAGTTTATCATAAAAGTTGTCTTAAGATATCAGACGAGCAAGAGGAAAGTTTCTGTTCCACTTCAATTGATTTATAGTCACGTGTAATATTAATTCCAGTGTATATTTTTAGGTGAACCGGTAAAAATCAAGGTTTCTTTAGCTGAATGATTTTAAGATTGGATTCCAAAGACAACTTTTATGAAATGGCCAACCTGAAATTACGCCCATGAGGCTTGTCTCAGTATAAAAAATGTCTACATAAAAACCTCTGCCACATAAGGTGTATTGCATGCTTGCCACACAAGTTGAATTTTAAAATTTTTGTACCAAATTAAAGGATCTAAAGCTGTTTGATAATAGCCAGCACGAGTGGCTGAATTGTACATGTTACATAGATGTATCTGATTCCAAACAGTTTCAATTATTCCTGACCCTCAGCTCAATAGTGGTTTATGATCTTGCTTAGGTCAGACGTCAGTCTGGCCTGCAGTGGACATGTACATGTATATTGGTGTGTAAAATTTATTGGTAATTGTGAAAAGCCATGGTCATAATCCCAAGATTGTCATTTCACCTTGGTGCATTTTTGTGTACTTGCATTTTTATATGAAAATCCACAGAGAAATTTGTTTGCCTAATTAGTTTGTAAATACATGTATATTAAAATGCATGCTTTCCCAAAATAAATGAATATATATCAAATGAATAGTTTTTATATACATAAATGTATAGAACAATAACATACATATGTGCTAGAGCCCTGAGCTACAAATGCAAGAGAAAATTTTTGTTTAATTTGAATAACTTACAAAATCTCTATTTTTGTTCAAGTACATGTACAATTTGAAAGACTAAGACACTGAGACTCACATGGCTTGAATCTTATACACAGCAAATTAACCAGAGAAGAAATGATGTGAGAAAATGTGGCAAGCATTTAAAACAAAAAATAACCTGAGTTATGGATGTTAAAATGCCTTAACATCACGTGTGTCATGTTGTGGCAATAAAAGTGATTCTGCTGTAATTTTTAAACTCAAAAACAGATAAAATATCCCAGCATCTGGAATATCTGCATTGCTTTTATGTTGATTTATATATCCAGAATTTTGATATACCCCAGCTCTTGGGCAATGTGATACGTTAGAGTAAGGTACGAATATTTACCTCTGGGTATGTAATCTCCCGACCCAGCTAGTGAATCGGAAGACAGAATAGTACACATTGTATTGTACTATTTCAGCAGCGTATCGCTAACCAGTGGGTCTGACATTTATGAGATGTGCAATCTTTATCTGCACTTAAAGCCTCAATGAGCAGCTGGCAGTGAAAGTACAATTCAAGCTGTAGCAGTGTGAGAATTTTTTGTACAAAGTTTTTATTTAACAATTTGTTTTTGTTGTTCATAAATTGTCTGGAAAGACATGATGTCTCTGAGCCCCAAAAGGATGTGCCAGTGTCATACAAGCACATTGGCCAGCTAGGGGAAAACACGTCAATTTAGTATTGATGTGCTGAAGTAAGTCGCCAAATTCTGCAGTAATGGAATGCAACAATGATGACCGTGTTGCTTACATTTGGGATTGACTTTTTATGAACCCTGATTTGATGTTTCAGACCCAAATGGAAATGAATTTGAGGTTGGGATCTCCAATGAGCATGCAGACTAGGCTGGTGTTGTAATTTAAATATGGCTTCCAGCACAAGAACAACTATTGGACTGCTGCCCATTGGTGATGCTATTGAGTCGGAAAGCTTCAATGCATTCAGGTACAAATCACCAAGCTGTTAATTTACAGAGAACACTTGGGATTTGTATGAGGTCAATCCCTATCTTATGGACAAATGCAGTAGCAAGGTCCTATTCAAAGACCTGGCTCTGGACGACCTCTGACACTAGGTGTCATAGTTGTTTCTGTATTCAGTCACACTGACTGCTGACCAATCGCACGTGAGATGTTACTGAGGAGGGCTTGCGATTGGCCAGTCAGAGCAGTGGAGTGATACACTAGATTGGTTGGATGTCCCCTCATGTCACTCAAAAGGCCAGATGTTAAAGGAGGGGGCCTTTTGAGGTGAACTGATGACGGGGAAGATGTTGGTGGCCGAGAACGGCTGTGGAGGCAAACGTGAGCAAACGGGTTGAGCAGACCCTGGGGGAAACTGAGCATTAACAGTTAACAGCTTCTAACTGCTGATAATTTTGCAGTCACAAACTGCTGGTGGTATTCAGATGCTGTTCACTGTAACTGTGTGGGTGTTATTACAGCTTTGGAGGAAATCAAAGATAAACATTATACTAACTGCAGATGTTACTGCAGTGTTTGAAACTGAAGATGGAATTTCAGTCACTGTTTATGAGAAACTGTTGATGTCGTTACAGTCTCATGGAAGGAAATCAGCATTAACAGCACAGTAGCCGTTGCCACTGCTGGTGCAACTGTAAACCTCTGGTGGAATTGCAGGTCTGAAGATGGAAATTTAGTTGCTGTTAATGCACATGTAACTGTTGGTGTTACTACAGTTTAAAGAAGGATTGAAGTATACAATGGACACCATAAGTCAACAGCAAGACAGCCAACTGCGGTTGTATGGAATTGCAGTTGACCGAAGATGGAATTTTGCTGTTAACATCCTACTGCTAGCGAGGGAAAAAACAGTTCATACAATGTCCATGCAGTGGAATGATTACACTGGGAACCCAAAGAGGACAACTGTAGGAAATAATCTGAAAGATCTTGGAAAGATCTCTTACGCTACAGGTCTCTCTATGAGTTTATGTCACAGGACTAACACATGCTTGCCTGGTGCCAGAGGTGATCATTTAGGCTAGACTGGTCATGGAGACACCTGGTAGTGCAGACCAGAAATTCCAACTTGGTGGTGTGCTCGTGAAAGCAACACCTTGCCTGCCTTCCAGGTTAGAAGATGAAAAACCAACCTGGAAGATTGATGTTGTCACTGACATGTTTCTCTTGAACGTTACAAGTGGACTGATGTTACACAAGTTTGTACCACCGTTTGGAGGACAAGCATAAGATCTTAGATGCTTGATGGCCCCTTAAAATACATGGAGTCACCTCGGTGACACTGGCTGTACATTCGGGTCTTCTGAAGTTTTGGATGAGCACCGTCACAGAGGTGGTGCAATCTTCAATTACACTCTCACAAAAAGATACTGGTTCCAACTCAAACCCATAGATGGTACGTAGGTTTGGGAAACCCAGTTTCCTCTCAAAGCAGAGAAACATTTGAAGCCCTACGATGTCATCCAAAAAAAACAGAATTTACAGCAGCCATTACTCCTGCAAGACTTGAGATGGAACTAAAGGAGCAAGATATGCACAGTTGGCTTTGTGCTGTTAGGTCAGATAAGAAAGATCAGATAACAGAAACAAGTGATGATCGTTAAGTTAAAGGAGCAACTGCAGATGGAATCGCAGTCAAGCAATGATGGAATTTCCTTTGTGTTTATGGCTTTAAAAAGGGGAAGCTGCCAAGATACGAAACCTGATCTTGGAAAGATCTCTTTTGCTACAGTCCTGTCTATAATGTAGGGTACAGGACTGATGCATGCTAGCCAAAGGTGATCATTTAGGCTAGACTCTTCAAAGAGATGCCAGGTGGTACAGCTAGGCTATAAACTAACACTTGATGGTGTGGTTAGACGGAAAACCATCCTGAAAGACTGATTATGCTATTGGCATACTTTGATTCTTACGAACATAACAAGTCGACTAATGATACACAAGTTTGTATCACTGTTCAGAGGACAAGCATTTTGGATGCTTGATGCTACCATAAATCACAATGAGTATCATCTTGGTTACATTGGGTGTACATTGCTATTGCAAAGATGGCACGAAGGTCAACGTATGTGCCCTTAGAAAGATCTGTTCCAACAACCTACAAGGGGGTCCCGTGTTTGGGAATACCATTTTTTTGAGTAAGTACATTAAGTACACGAGGCCCATTGATATCCGCCAACAGGAAAGGTACAAGAGGCAATTTAAACTACTGTAAGACTTAAAAGATGGCATGAAGAAACAGTTATGTCATGGTAATTGGCATTTTGGTGTTGGTGACCTAACTTCTGGTCACAACTGGTGATGGATAAACTTCCCACTCAGCTAAAACAGCTATAGCTTTGGCACTGATGATGGTGTCGCAGCGAAATTACAAACTACAGATGGAGTTACAGTGTTATTTTATTAACTGAAGACTTTCACTTTGGTTATGAAGTTATCAGTTTAGAAATGGAGCAAGCCAAAGACTAGACAGCAGAGTACAGGCTGAATCCAGTTATCCACTGGAGACACAATTGGAGCTTTGGCAACTCTTGTTGGCACGTGAGTTTCTGTTCACATGACATACTGTTGGTGTCGATTCAATTTCTTTTACATGGAAGAAAGTTGAATCACATGCGCTGTTGGAATTGCGATTCTGAATAAGGAAATACTATTTTGTTGTTGATTTTTTTCATTACTTTGTGTATTAAGTTGCCTTTGAAAACCTTTGTATAAAAACTACAGCAAATGATATATGTTTATGGAAAGAGTTATCCCTTACACTGTTTTTTCATAACCCAGCTGCAACAATTTCTGTACATGTTTACTAATTACTGTAATTATTTTAAATAACGTGTCAGTGTGTGTAACTTGGATTGTATGGTATTTTACTTCAAAAGAATTACACTCAGTATCAGATCTTTAGTGGACCAGTTGGAAAATGTCTAGAATCCTAAGAATGCAATTAGGCAACTATTGGTGTACATTCATTTTAGTAGCCTTAATTTTGTATGTGAGTGCATGTTTGGTGGTAGTGTCGCTTATAATTGTAAATGACTGATCTTAAAAATCCTGGCAAGGTGGCCTGGAGCACATCAGAATTTTAGAAAGGCAATTGAGAAAGTTACAATTTGTGACCAAATATGCACGCACTTACTAACTAGGGTCAGTTCCTCTCCAAAGATGTTTAATTAAGATCCATTTTTTTTTTCACTAGTTAGGCGAAAGGTACAATTAGATTTGGGGATTAAAAATGCTCAAAAATATTTCATATGTATCGAACCTGACTGAAAATCTGGGGTTGGAAGATTAATTTTATGTACCTGGTAGCCCATTTTATGGATCCATTTTTTATGTCACATCCGTAATCCGTAAGGTCAATGTGTTTAAAGTTGATTAGACCCGCAGTGTAGAAAAATAGTGAAGTATATCTGGTAGAGGAAGAAAATCTGCCAATATGCAGTGGTAGATGATCGGGCAATAGTTGATTGTTTTCTCATAAAATTGCCATTTGTGATTAATAGGAAATTTTTGAGTTGCTGTTGACAGCAGATATACAGGCCGTTAGAGACAGGTGCTACCAGTAGTTTTGAGCATGCAAAATTCTGAAAACTGTATGTCTGCTGCCACTAGCATCTCAAAAGTCTTCCATTACGAATGTGACATTAAGTAAACATTATTTAGAGAGGAACTGCATTTTTGAAAAGAGAACTTTAATGCTGGCGCTGGGTACAGCCAAGCTGCACCTCAGCTGTCTCCCAGCATGGAGACTCCCCACCACCACGAAAAGGTGTACAATGACCAGATGTGGTTGAAGGAGTGGAGTATCTGCTCCTCATGCATCGCTGCGTTTGAGCAGTTGTCACATCTCTGATGATTTGATTTGGGCTGCTCATCAGAGCATCACTTGATAGGTTGTTGGAAGCCCCCATTGCTGGAGTTGGAATCCTTGAAGCTTTTCTCCATGTGCTCCTGCCTCTGAGACTTCCTGAATCTGGAACAAGGTGACCCGTCCTGGATACAATCCGGGGTTCTTGTGATAACTTGTTAACTGTTGTTGACATTGGACTTGATGTCTTTCGGGCTCTTGGAATTTTCGAGTCTCTTCTTATACTGTCTGAAACACAGCCACTGGGACGCTTAGAACCTTGCATGAAGCCACCTGCTTTCGAGGCAGACAAGAGGTCACTTGATGGGCCACTGGAATGTGGCTGCACTTGACTTGGTGTCTTCTTCCTTCTTGGAATCAGTGAGGCTCTCCCTTGGGGACTGCTCAAAATCCTGACCTGAGAAGTCGTCCTGGATTGTTGCTCTGTGTCTGCTCCGATCAGGAGATCACTGTTTGCTTGGTCTGTTGTCCTTAGAGTAGGAGAGCCTTTGCCAAGAGGAAGCTGAAGTTGAACACCAGTGTGTTGATCTCTGTCTTGTTGGTTTGGAAAATCAGGTGCACGTACCTTCATTTTCGTCCCTAACGTGGGAATCTTTGAAGGGGTGTTTCTTCTGGTTAGATCCTTTCGAGTGCACTGGGACTCATCACTGGAGCAAGGCCCTGTGTTCTGATTGTCAGAATGATCCAGAGGGTTGCTGTGAGGTGTTTTTGCTACTGGCAAGCCAGAAGTTAACTCAGGAGTTATCTTGCCTGTTGAGTATGGGATGGTTTTTGCTCGCCCAATGGAAGATATGTTGCCTAGATTAACAGTGTCAGTGTTCTTGCTTTCCATGGTAGATGCCTTCGCTATTTTGGGTTTAACAGATGGAGAAGAGGCTACATCCTGTGGTGCTTTGAAGGTCATGTGTTCTGGCTTCAGTCTGCTGGATGAATTTGATTTCAGTGTGGAGCTCTCACATGATTTTGTTGGCTGATTGGTGACAGTTGTTGGATCTAGAAATGGGTTCTTTGTTTCAGCAGGCACACTATCACCAGAGTGGCTGCTGTCCTGATGATGGCTTTTCATGGCAGCTCTTGCAGGGGAGTCAGGTTTCTGTTGAGGGAAAGAGTATGTTGAAGCCTTTAACGTCTCATCATTAGTCTTGGTTTTGCTTGAAGCTTGTGCATTTTTATCTTTCCCGCTGGCTCTCTTGACCTTGACCTGTTTCTTTTGTTTCTTTTTATCTGTCCTTGAATTTTTCATGTCTATAGCAGGCTTCTTGCTTTCCTCCGAGTTGGTCTGGCTTTTGCTTAAAGCCTGTGCATCCTTGTCTTTCTCAGTATCTTTCTTGACCTTTTCCTGTCTCTTTTGTTTCTTTTTCTCTTTTCTTGACTTTTTCATCTCCTCGCCAGGCTTCCAATCTTTATTCAATTTGGTCTGACTTTCGCTTGAAGCCTTTGCATCCCTGTCTTTGCCACTATCTTTCTTGACCTTTTCCTGTTTCTTTTGTTTCTTCTTCTCTTTTCTAGACTTTTTCGTCTCCTCGGCGGGCTTCCTGCCATCGTCCAAGTTGGTCTGGCTCTCACTTGAAGCCTGTGCATCCCTGCCTTTCCCACTGTCTTTCTTGACCTTTTTCTGTTTCTTTTGTTTCTTTTTCTCTTTTATTGACTTTTTCGTCTCCTCGACGGGCTTCCTGCCATCATCCAAGTTGGTCTTACTTTCACTTGAAGCCCGTGCATCCCTGTCTTCCCCACTGGCTTTCTTGACCTTCTTTTGTTTCTTTTTGCCCCTTGATTTTTTCTTTTTCTTCACAGATTTGTCTTTCCCTTTGGCTTTCTTGACCGTGTCCTGTTTGTCCGTTTTGCCAAGAAATGCAGACTTGACTGCTGTTTTAATCCTTGACAGTGCTGACTGGTGCCTTGATAGCTTGCCATTTTCTTTTTCAATCTGGGAAAAGCCAAGGCCAGTGAAAAACACTGTTACAGTGAGGGTACTTCTTTAAGAAAGAATTGGCACATTTGCATACATATTTGTTGCATGGCAGAGAGACATAAATATGCATAATGTGGTGATGTCACTGGCATGAAAATGGAGAACCTTTAATTTTAATTGCACGATTCACAAGGGATTTTTATAATTCACAATGCTGACATGTCATATTTTATCCTTACGTTGTCAGTCTGAATGGATATTTCACAAGTCTGGGTTGAAATCTCAGAGGCTGCAGGGCATACAAGGTTAGAGCTTGATTTCTTTGGCCCATTCAAGATGATGGTTGCCAGCTTGGCTGTGCCAACTGATGCAGTGTTGGAAATCTGTTGATAAAGTAAGACGCGTCGTCAATTTTTTAAATCTGAAATCATACCTTATTTGAATTAATTCTGAATGTGTCAGTGCCAAAACCTCTACTACTAATACCTTAATGTCTTCAGCCTTAATATGAGGAGAAAAAATCACCGCTTCAGTGGCATTTGAGATCTGCTCTGAGGTGATAGTGGCAAGCAAAACGTCTATATCTGCCGCCTGTTGGTCCAGGTCACATGCGTCCTGTCCCTTCTTTGTTTCGTCATGAGGCTGTGAAATCATAGCAGTGGCAAATGATCAGACAAATGTTGAAACAATCTCGAAGTGGGATTTAAAATTTAAGCTGATCACAGATTTAAAATCCCACTTTGGCAAAAATACCCAGTTTCAACACTTCAGTCACACCTGTACTGATACATGTTTAATTCTAATTTTCTTACTTCCAGAAAAGTAAAAAAAAACTGATAAAAGTATCTGCTTTAATGATTAATTTCCAGAACCTCATTGATGAAATGTTTGATCCGACCGAGGTAATCCATCTGATCCAGTTATGCTTAGTATATTCTGTCATTCAAAATAAACGGGACGACTTTGAATATAGTTACCATTTGAACTGCTGTAGTTGTAGTATCAGTGCTGGTATCCTCCTGTATGAAACTTGCACAGCAGGCATCTACGATTTTAGTACTCTTCAGGTCCAGGCAGCTTGGTGTCTGCAGCAGTGAATCATCAGCCTGCAAATACAATTTGAATTAGCACTTTGATACTCTTCACTCATTTATGTTGTCACTGTTTATTAATGTGATTGTCATTAAGGTATGTCTATAACCATAGCCCGAAGGGGATTTCCTGTTATTTGGACTTCATGATACTCTAATTTTTAATTGTCAACAACTCTTCCACTGATAACCTTTCATGATTAACAGTTGGCAAGATTTGTTCTAGCCCATTCACAAGTCCTAAATTCATCTGTTTAAGATTCCAATTCAGGATAGATTGGTGAAATTTGAGCCATAGAGGTCCATTAGCCTTTAGTGATAGCTTACATTGTGAACATCCACGATGTCTGACTTGGTGATGTTACAGTCTTGGAGTGCTGTTACAACTTTGGCAGCCTCTTCAGTCAGATTTGGAGGCAGCTCGAGGACCACAGGCTGTATGTGTAGTGATCAAAACAAAAGCTCATTCCATTAAAAACATAATCAGGATCAGGATGCACTGACACTGTTTGCGACTGTGTCTACATTTACATATATGACATTTCACTTCTGTTCCAAAATATTGAGGTTGCTAGAAGTTGGACTCTGCACATGGACTTTGGGGTCAATTCTTTGTCTATTTTCGGGACTACATGTCATGTAGTATGAATTTAATTAGGACTGTTGGTTGAACAGTTTTGGGAGGACCTCTGTTTATTCTTGTTTTGTTTTAATATACAGCTACACAGACTTGAGCTTGACTGACTGCATGTGTTTGGTATTGATGACTTGCCTCATCAGTTGCAGAGTCAAGCACCTCCGACTGACATACTTTTTCCACATGTTTGTCCAGACTAGTCAAGACTTCAACGGCCTTTACAGGGTTATGAGGAGCCTCTTGTTCCAGGCTGGTGGAAGAGTCCTGTAATTGAAGTGTACTCCCAAGTAATTCCCAGCAAAAGAGCACTTATGTCAACACAAAAGTTTTGACAAAGTGAATAACCTGTGACATGATGGAGTCCTGCTTTAATTTGTTAAAGTGTACACTTCTTGGCAGGGAAATTGAATACGGTCCATCGAGCCCCCCGAAGGAAAGGCACAACAATTTAGCTTGTCATCATTATGTTTTGATCTGTTTTTTGAAAAGGTGAGTATTGTTATGAGATGCATAAACTTTACACTACTGATGGTTTGTATATGGTATTTTCCAAAGACTCCTACCTTATCAGCAGCTATATCATCTTCTTTTCCATCCTCTCCCTTGTCATTTGCTTCCTTATCATCCATTCCCTTGTCTTTCATTTCCTTGTCATTCGCTTCTTTGCTGTCAACTTCCTCATCATCCACTCCCCTGTCATCCACTGAGACCTCATCATCCACATCTTTGTTATCTTCTTCCTTGCTACCTGTACCTTCAGTCACATTTTCCGGGCTCAGCTTCAAGTTAACTTCATCCTCAAAGTCTGTGATGACAGTGCTTGGTATCTGGAACTGAAGACATGGTTTGAAATGTCTGGCACATTCACCATAGTTTGTCATTATTATCAATGTTGTCAGTACCAACCTATTGTCATAATAACCATTACTGCATTACTGTATCATCACAGCTGGCAATCATCGTGGCCGTCATATATCACTATAAATCTTACAGGCACAAGGAGTATTATTATAATTGCTACCAGAAATATTTCAAGCAAACCATTTAATCTTTTGAACAACTTCCAGCTTACCTTTTTTGGGGGGGTAGTAGTTGGTGGTTCATCCACAGTGTTGCCCACACAGACGTCGGTGTCACTAGCAATGGTCGGTCTAGGCTTGATGGATGTGGAGCTGATAGGACTCTTAGCGGCCAGGGTAGACTGTTAAGGAAACCATTGAATTGAGTGTGGTGGACCCCCTCCGCCCATGGCAAAAAAACAGACAAGGCCAAGCTGACAGACTGTTTGTTTTGTATTGGCTGGTGCAGAGATGTAAACAGTTTCGTTTGACCTCAAACACGAGAGTGTTATTTTTACCTATACCATGGTGGTCTATATGCAATTTAGCAACAGCATTATGATCTGGATTGGAAAGTTTGAATTATGGTTTTGTGACAAAAATGTATCCTCATAAGGTTTTTGGATTTCAAGACGCTTGCAGTCCCTGTAAAACTTTCAACAAGTATGCATGCTTTTATGTGGTTTAATGATGTAGCTAAAGCTTTTTAAACTGTGTAATTCCGTAGGCTTTCTGAATGAACACCCACCCTTATGTTTGTTCTCATGTAGTAAAATATTAGCATGAGAATTACAGTTGTCTAATTGCTTCCATGTGGGCCTGAATCATTTCCCTTGGCTGAAATTTCAACTGAACTTCCCTTCTGCAAAACACTTTAATTGCAATACTAATTCCTTATTTTTGAGAAAATTCCAAATATCTGTCTCATGAAATTCTTGTTGGGTACCATTTTAGTACCCCACAACTACAACAAATGTTTCCTGTGGGGTACTTTCCTTTGTTCTGGTACCGCACAAGGCACCGTAAGTACACGCACCACAGATCAGAGAACACAATCTACTTTGAAAGGATGGATCCAAACCAAATTTTTTTGTGGGGGGGGGGAATAGAAGAGGAGCAAACGCGTTTTAAGCAGGGCACAAATTTGGAATTTTTTAATGTAATATTCAGTGGCCTTTCTTGAACATGGAAGCAATATCATTGGCCTTTTAAATTGTTTTCTGGTGGAATTATAATGAACTAGACCCAAAACAATCTCTTTTTCCCATTGTTTGTTTAAAGGAGGGAAAGGTCCCCCCTTCTCACCCCCCTTTGGCCTTGGAACTTTCGCTGGTGCTATGTGTATGTACTTGTAGTCAAGTGGACCAGGTTACATGCAATTTCAGTAAATGTCAGTGGAGTTTGGCAAACTGCATAATTTTAACAAGAGTTTATACCTGAAAAGGAATACATCTTAAGAAAAGTGAATGTGTACCTGGTTGATCCCTTGGATGGCATTCAGGTCCTCGCTCTTGCTCACGGCATCGTTATTTATCACCTTGGCAACTGCATCAGTACTGATGGCAGAGGTGACAGAATCATCAGTGGTCATCATTTCTTTAGTTGACTTCATCATCTTCTCTTCCTGTGAAGTTATGGGAAAATTGCAGCATCTTACATGTACATGTACCTCATAAGTGAGTTTAAGTTGGAGCATTCAGATGTTGGGTGCCATTTTGTTTACATTAAGTAAGTCGTCCTTTAGGTGTTGCTAACATGAAAATACTTCATGGAAAATATCTTGAACTATTTGTTGGCTGTTTTAACACAGAAGGTTAAAAAAAAATTAGGTGCTAATACTTTATCAGTCACACCAACTGAGAGTTGAAGCTCCCCAATGTAAGCATTCACAAAGTTTTGAAATGTTTTATGCTCTGACCTTCGGGATTTCCTCGGTAGAAGTATGCTCACTGTTTGGGGTTTGCTCGGTGGTGGTGTGGGTTTGCTCAGTGGTTTGCTCGCTGGTAATGGCAGGTAGCTGGACCCCTCCTGCAGGGTTATAGAAAAATGCAGCTACATGTACAATAAAAATTTGATTGTATATCTCAACTACTACGAAGCTGAAATTATCACTCTAATCTAGAACAAGGGTTTCAGAGTTTGAACATTGTAACAAGAGCTAATGAATAGACCTGATCCATCTCACCCATAAAATAGCATATTATTTGGTTTTGAATCTGTTTATGCACTGGTGTATAATCAGCATTGTGCCCAAGAACAATGATAACTCACCAAGTCCAGCTACGGCCAGAGCCAAAGCTCTCAGCTCAGCATCACCCTTAGCCTTGGTCTCGGCTAAGACCTTTTCCAATTTGGCCTTAGCCTGAAACAGGGAAGAGACAAAAATGCCAAGATCAGGTTGGAAGCAAAAAACTGGACTGTTTAATTTGCGCCACGAGGAGGGAAGCCAAAGGGAAACAACGACAGTGAAGCTTAACCTTTATTTCTACTTTCATCCCATCAAATTCATTTATTTTTGTTCATTGAATATTGCATTATCAGCAGGAAGATAACGAGTGACTATGAAAAAACAAGGACCAATTGCCTGTTTCAGAGGTGGGAGGAGCCTCGGATAAATATTCCAGGGTATCAGGTAGGGAATGAAAAGGTGGTATTTAAGCCCAGGTCCCAAATGTAGAAGGCAAGGAAAGAACCACTACACCAGCCTTGACTCCCTCTAGTGGAGGCCACAGAGAAGTTTCGATTTTTACTAAAGTTTTGAGAAATTTAATACGATCCTCTAACACTGCAAGATCGGTAGCATATCATAAGATCATTGTCTTTTGATGGCTACATGGTATATCAGCTTCAAGTACATGTATGCCAATTTGTGGGCATTGAATGCAGATGTCTCGCCCAGAACTTAAACTTGTGCACACTTTTGAAAAGAATGTTTGACGACGAGAACTTTTTGAGACGAAGTGAAAAGTGAGTAGAATCTCCAGTAAGTTATATGTCGACATACCTTGATTTGCTTCTTCAAAGCACTCCTAGAAAGCTTGTCTTGCTCCTTGTTGGGTCCTAGGGAAAAAAACACGAGCACACATAAATGAGTCCCATCTACCTGTATCAACTTGCACATTGGCCCTTCGGCTGTCCTAGAAAAGGACTGTTGTCCCGTAGATTGGCCCTCATCTATCTGGGCTCTTAGCCCTTTGGTTGTTGAACCCGCTAAAAACCAGAAACTTCCCTGCAACATTCATTCATTTCTCCAGTTGGAGATTTTTCTTTGCTTCAGATTGCTCGGCAAGTAAAGCTGCCTTTTTGTCTGATACATGTACATCTTCAGGCGAGTGCTGTTTTGAAAGGTAAGTTTCTTGACATGCATATTTTTTCAGAAAATATTTTAAAAAAAAGAATTTTGGTCAGAATTTCGACTTGCACTCTGACATGTTCGGATGGTTTGTCAAAAATCAAGAGCTAAAAAATCGATTAAAAATCCAGGGTGGAATTGCAGTCGCTACCTATGATGTCAAGTACGTTTTTGCATACTCGACAGTCACAGTAACTCGCGTGTCGAATGTCTGTTTCATCGATGTGACTTTCAGGCTTTTCTTTTTCAAATTTGCCAAAGGCTGAATATCCCTAGTTAGGATCAGGCATGCATGTGTCACGTGCACGTGATCTGTGTATGACGTAATGGGTTTATCAACAGCGGCGCGGAACGGTTGGGAAGAAAGTCTAGTTGGAATTTTGTGCAAGTGCTCTTTCTAATTCACTGGAATTCTGAAATGTAAACTAATTTTTTTGAGAAATTCTTCATTAAAAAACAACCTGTTACACTTGCTCTGGCTGAACAAAAGGGATAGTTTTTTCTTGATCACTTTTCAGGTTTTATGAGCAAAGAGTGTTTTAGAAGCGATCAGCAACTGGTTAAACCAATCTGGAGCCAGGAAAATCTTCGTTGACACTTTAGTCGATCCTTGAAGTCTGGGTTAAAAATTGAATATTTAAAACAGTTTGGTAGAATTTCTGCACACAATGTGGACTGCTACATGTGTAACTACTTTCAAATGAAATTTGACAATTATTTGAGCTGCAATCAGACTGCATAACGTTAGCGACGTTAACTTGAAAAATGACTGTTGCATATATACAGGTAGGCTTAAGGGCTACAAACGTTCAACATTTTGATAACTCTCCGTTATCACACAAGTAGACGTACTGTTTATGTGAGGGATGTATCAGTTCACGTAAAGTTGCAACTTCACCAACTCATGCTTTCACACTTGTAACGTTCAATGACATGCAGGCTTACTTGACAACCCATGTTGTCATTACAGTGGGCTGTTAAATTTCTGCTTGGATGGTGGTAAAATCATGAGTTTGAGGAATTTCTTCATTCTGCCGCCCTTTGATCGTAAAACTAAATGTGGGGCCTGAAAACACAAGAAATTCTATCTTTAAAGCCTGCTACACATTGGCAACTTGTTGACCACAAAATGTTTGGAACAAGTCTGAAGATTTAGACACCATTGGTATGAGCGTGTACTCATTTGGATTCAGGGGGAGGGCAAATTCAGAAGTGAATACAGCTTCCATATCATTCGATATGGTGTTTGGGGAGATGAGGCTTGACAGCTTTATTAATGTTCCATCGTAAATTTTTTGCAAACTTTTAAAAATTCTTTCAATATAGTAATCACTGGTTTCAAACTTCACAGTCATGACGGTCTCAACAGGTAATCTCAAAGCTTAATATTTTCTGAACGAGATATGTTTTCAGTTACTAAAAATTTTCGTATTAGAAATAATGCTCCGACAGCTACAATGTTTAGCAACACCTTACAAATGTATTGCCTAGGCCACCTTAACTTTGTACAGAGTGCTTAGCAACGACAATGAATGACGTCAACAAAGACTGTTGTTCATGTGATATGTACGCTAATTAAACTTGGCGCGGCCCAACGTGGCGCACTTTTATGTTTCACCTCTTGTGTCTTTCCTACTCACCTATGAAGTACTATTGATGGAGCAAAATTTTTAGCTCCGATTTCACAATTAGCCTGGTGAAACTTCATGTTCTGATTCGTAAATCTCAATTTCATGTGGGTTTGCCTTGCCTGATTTTCCAATTTTTTCCTGCAATGTGAAATGAACTCTTTTCAAATCAAAATAGGGAAATGTTCTTCTTTGTTGAAAATTTCTGGATAGGCCTAGATCTTTAAGTGGAAGTAGGCCTAGACCTAATGATGCTTTACAAAAATCTATCAACTCCATAAAGGATTTTGTAAAAGTTTAAGTGGCATTTTTGGAGATTTTTTCAAGTGCACCACTTCCGGCCTAGCTAGAAAAACATTTCTCAAGTAGGCCTAGGCCTAGAATTGATTTGCACTGAAACAAAAGGAACTTACGTTGAGCACGGCGCTTTCTCTGCTTGGACTGTGGACTGCCCATGTTTGAGCCGACGTGATCTTGAAATCAGCTGCGAAATTTCCGTATTTGTTGTGTTGATAAGACTGCAGAAAGATGGAGAAATACAAAGACACGTCCTTTTCTCGTAATCCAAAACCGTTTCTGAAGATTTGAGCTTGGCTTGCTTGCAATTGCCGACGTACGACGCCGCGACTGTGGGGCTGCTGATTGGTCGAAAGTTGGTCACGTCTCATGCATAATTCACAAAATAATGTTTTGCCGTTTCTAATTTCGTTGCTCGTTCGACAATTTACATATTTAATGCAACAAGAAATTTGTATTTTGTTAATTATTAAAAGATTTTCATAAAATTGTAGTCGTTTCCAGTGGTATTATTGTGTATTGATTTAAGACATGTATTAATTGGTGTTTATCTTCTTTGCAAATCATTATGTTAAAAATCTAAATATTGAAAGAGTGCCTAACAACAACATAATGCAGTCAAATAAAGGAGTTACGCGCGCGACCTTTTGAGTCGAGAGGGCGCGCTTACGGGTCTCGGTCGGTCCGGTCGCGCACATGGGGTGCACTGAACCAATTCAAGCTCCATTGAAAATAGTGTAAAATCAACCAAGTTTGGAGCCCCATGGCTGGCAACTGAAGTCCCTGAGGCCTCTCAAACAGAAAACAATGTGTTGTTTGATCCTTCAGATTTCATTTGATTTTCAATTTTTAGTAGGTTAACCAATGAATTTGTTAATTATCCGCCCAAAACAAACTCACCCCCCAAAAAGTGAATGTTGCCAAGCCTTCCCAGCGGCAATTTTTAAATGACATCCCTCACCTTCCTCGGGCTCTTCTGACTAATTTTCTATCCCATTTTTGTCTGCTTTGCCCCCAGATGGGTACCCCTGAATCTATAGAGATGATCCTGGGCCATACTGACACAATCCCACAATTTCGTGGCCCACACAGACCCCTCTTTTCAAAGGAAAAAGTTTTTTGGGGGGACACTTTTTGAGCGCCTCTTCCTGGCTGAGAATTTCCCTTGAATTGGGCGGTGCTCCCATGGAGATCCTAACTAGAGCGCTGACTCCATAGAGTTGGATGTTCATTATTATATCCAACTTTATGGCTGACTCTCGTGTACAAAGTGATGCCTGCTGGGCGCATCCATGTTTGTGCACAAACCTATGAACAACTCGAAATTGTGTACTACTATTTGTGTAATATCTGCGTCTGTATTCTAAAACGATACGTCAACAAAGCCGATACGCAACAACCTGAACGCACAATCAGTAAATGAGCGTTTCATTTTACTCTACACAAAAAAGCAAAATAAAAAAACGCAAACGCGCGCTTGCGTATGCATATGCGTCGCACATGAACTCTGCTGTGACATTTTTTATTAATCGGATTTTCTACCTGTTTATGCTCGACAGAGCCGTCAACTCACTTAACAGTGACTGAAATAAGGGAACGACTTTTCAAATTTAGCTGAACTTATTCATCAAAAGACAGCCTTCAAAAGACATGTATACGAAATCGAACGACCTTGCTTCAATGTGAGGGAAGCATTCGTTTTAAGATAATCAGCTATGGATGTAAATTATGCGATATTTCTCCACACGTGTACGTGTGTGTCTTATTCAAAAGACGCGCAGACGTTCACGTATGTTGTACTTTCGCTTTCCATTTTGAATGCACTATTGGATAATCATTCTTATCTGATTTTGAAATTATGTTCTACAAGCACGCGAATGGATTCAGAATGTCTACACCCAGGACGGCGTCAAATTTTCCCCGCGCGGAGAAAGAGAAGTTAGCGCTCTGGTTTATGGCTCTATGTTATATGGTAAAGCTTGAGGTGTCAGGCGCCCTCGAGTTTCCAACTTGTTCGTGCGTTACGGAATAATTTTACATAGGTACCCAGTGTCACCTCTAATTCTATTTATGGTCCCTATGGCCGTGCACGTTGTATGGAGATCAACGCCCGCAGACTCTTTTGTTCAAGACTTTTAATTGCCGCGCATACTTTATGATTCTAAATATAGATCAATGATTACAAACATTAACCATCACTTTTTGTATGGACGGCCTACGTTTTAAGAGATTTTACATTACACTTTTGAAATGGAAAAATTTCCATATGCAGCAAGGTATGAGACGGAGAGAACACCCCCCCCGCTTTGTGTTAGTCATTGTCTCGCACGAATCTGGGGAATTCCTTTCAGACATCNCCCCTCGGTCTCATTTCTTGCTGGGTATAAAAATTTCCGTTAGCGCTTAACACATTTACAAGTACTTCTATTTATAGTGTGACGACCCAGCTGTACGTGCTCGTCCCTTGTTCATTTTGTCATTGTAGAATGGTTATAAATAGTCTTTGCGAAGCGCCGGGGATGTCCGTTAGTACAGTGCGCATAATTATTCTTTTGGTGCGAGTCGTGCACTTTTCCACCGTTGGAAAATGGGCGTGGCCGCGTGTGACGCGATACGCGTACGGCGCACAACTTTCAGCCAACCAGGGGTAAGTGTATTAGCCGAGTCATCCAATCTCTTGTAAGGGGCGGGGTTAAGCATTACTTGGGATAAGTTTCCCAGTTAAGAGCAAAGATTTTATAGCGCCGCGTAGCAGTGCAAGATGGGTAATTCGGCCAAAAAGGTGTTATCACCAGAGGCGCCATTCGAGTGTGAACGTTAATGTATATGTGTGTGCGTGCCTAGTCGCAGCGCCTGCGCATTAACATGCACTGCGCAGGCGTAGTCCAACCAGAATGGCGCCTATGTGATAACGTTTTACGCGTATTCATGGTGAAGTTCCCCATCTTGCGCCGCTAGGCGGCGCTATACGATCTTTGGATAAGAGATTGTGTTGAATTTGATAAATCGGAGAGAACTGTTTGGACTTGAAACGAAACAGGCGTGTCCTGAGTTTCTTACTGAAATAGTGTGTAGTAGTATTGGCATGTACATTTACATTCGGCTTTTACGGGATAAGCAGTGTCGCCACGCTACCAAATGACGGATCGGTGCTGTTTCCAGAAGAAAGCCCACGAATAATAATAAACCGCTCAGATGACAGCAAAGGTCCGTTACAGTAGTGCTGTAATATAAATCTTTTTTAAAACTTGCACTAACGACCACGCCAGCCAACGTTTTGCCAACCAGAGAGGTCTCTAAAACGTCGTTTATTAAACTAAATCTTGATTCGAGAAGCAGTATGATGTAACTGTTATAATTGTTTTGGCCTGAGGAGACGAAGAATGCACAATTTTGTCAATTTTTCTTCATGCATGTTTGATGAGATTTCCAAGTAGCGTTAGATTTCAAATTGTTCTGAATAAGTATACCAAAGAGTTAGCATGATTGAACTGTTTCTTTTTGATGACCATGTAGCAAAAGCAATTTGTTTAGCTCGAATGTTATTTCCGTCGCTAAACATTTCATTGTGCACATCGTTAAGTTCTTTTATTTTTGTGCACAAACCGGTTTATTTTTGTCTTAATGCACTCAGGACCATTACTAGGAGCGACTTTTAATTATTACACGTGTTTTGGGGATGTGTGGCTTCCAAACTCTATTCCATTGTGTGGGCCTGGTTTGCAATCCAGTAATTCATCATAATAGCATGGAAATAGTAACTTCTGTGTGGCAAAGCCAGGAGGAACAATAACCAAAAGGGGACAGAAATAGCCAGCTGGAGAGACATTTTTTATACCTAGGTATTTCACCGCCCACGAAGAGTTTTACTGGACAGATTATCGGACATCTGCACATTTCTCAATGTGAGCCCTCTAGTGGTCATTTGTTTTCACACCAACTACACGTATCTATTATGAGTAGGATGCGAATTGAGTGACTTACATTCATTGTGAAATTGATAAAATGGTTTGTATCAGTCTGAAATAAAATGTAAGGAATTACAGGAATGTGTATTTTGGGAAAAAATTGCGTTTTTCCGTAAAAGGCACTGCTTTGAGATTTAGATCATCAACTACACGTATGAAGCACTTATTAGCATGACCCACTGACCTACTTTTACCGCCAGATCGTTTTCGCTATGCAACATGCATAACGCGTTGTAGGCGGGTCGACGGTCGGTACATACCGGGTGCATGCAGCGTGCGAAATGGCCGGCATGTGAGAGTCGACGTTTGACTTGGACTGAACAGCGGTTATTTGTCATAAAATTCTATGGATTCACTTGAAGTTCTCGGCCCAGATGTTAAGCTGACATGTCGCCGGGAATCCAGAAGGCTTTATGAGGGCTTGCCACCAACCAGGCCGCGATGGCAGCGGCGTCCGCCGCCAGCCTTCCAGCCAAGATACTGGAGTTGATTTTCTCCTACTTGGATCTAGCTGACCTACTCAACTGTTCCACCGTCTGCAAAGCCTGGCACAACTGCCTGAACGATGAGAACTCGCTGGTCTGGCGAGTCCAGTGCGTCCGGCGGATCGCCGCCGAGGCCCAAAAGGGGGACCTGCTGTCCGAGGTGCCCAGCTATAAGGGCAAGCTGCGGGCCCTCTTCCACGCCTTCAACCCGGGTGATTGCTCTCGGAACGTGTACATCAAGCCTAACGGGTTCACGCTCCACCGCAACCCGGTGGCGCAGAGCACGGACGCGGCCCGGGGGCGGAGGGGTTTCCGCAAGGGCCGGCACGCTTGGGAGGTCTGGTGGGAAGGGCCGCTCGGGACGGTAGCCGTGGTGGGGATCGCCACCAAAAACGCCCCTTTGCAATGCCAGGGTTACGTGGCTCTGCTGGGCAGCAATGACCAGAGCTGGGGCTGGAATTTGGTGGACAATTATCTCTCTCACAATGGCGATCACCAGGGAAACTTCCCACAATGCAATAATGCACCGAAGTACGAGGTGGGTATGAGAAATTGCTGTCCCTCTTGATTTTATCTGTTTACTGTGAACTAGACTGTGCATACTGGCAACTACTTAAAAAATACTGTTAAGCCTAACCTGTTTTTAACTGTTTACTGTTAAGTCTAACCTGCTAACTGTTCACTGTTATTACCTGCATGTACTGTAGACTTGTTTAGAAGTACATTTCTCCATCCCAGCACTGCTAATCCAATCCGTAACATAAGAGTTTGGTTTTTACCATAGAGCTATACTAGAGCACTGACAGTGATACCTGCTGGGCACGTCCATGTTTGTACACAAACCTATGGGAAAACTCAAAATTTTGTATGGCTTTTATATAGCTATTTGCATATATCTGTGTCTGTTTCTAAAATGATATGTCAACAGAGCTGATAGTCTGATACACATAAAAACTAATGCACTATCAGTAAATAAGCGTTTCATTTTTCTCTAAGTAAACAATGCATATGCGTATGTGCTGCAGATAACTTTTTGAAGTGAATTTTAGTGGTACGCGATGGGCATTGTGTTTAAAGTACGTAATTCGATAATCATTCTGTCTGATTTTGAATGATCAACAAGCATGACAGGCATGCTCAAGGATTCAAAATGTATGCACCCAGGACGGCATCAATTTTCTCTGCGCGGAGAAGAAGAAGCTAGCGCTCTAGTAATTTAATGTAGCTCTGTGGTTTTCACCCACAGTATATTCCCTCATCCCTTGTTCTTCACTCCTGGACCTTCTTCCAATGAGTTCCCGTACCACGTTGCAGCCCTATTCTCCTAGTAAAGTAGGCCTACTGGTAGGCCTATGCCTTCACTGCAGCAGTGTAATTGCTATGTTGCGACACTTGTATGCCCTCAGTGGATGTGGCTTTTTTGTACAAAAACACCATGGATTTGTGCATGTTCCAATAAAATTGGACAGGTCCACTCTGCAAAATTAGGATTCTGGAACCAGTACCGGTATGCTCAAGGAATTTGTTCTCCCTTCGGTCTGATGCTATCTGCAGTTTGTATTTGTATGTGCTGTCCGTTATCCGTATTTCTATGTCAAACTGCAAAAGTATGTATCAGAGAGCATGTGGCATCGTAAATGATACGGTAGTTCAGGCTCTGCCGTGTGCATGGTTTTATAATCAGCGGCCAACCGTTTCACAATAGTACGCCTCCAAGAGTTGGCAACATGTTGACGAATCGCTATGCACAAAATCTGTCGGTCCAATGCGCGTTTGGAAAGGGTTGACAAATTTCGCGCATTGTGATTCGTCAACAGGTTGGAAACTCTTTTAGGTGCACTAATGTGAAACGTCCATATTGAACTGTAACATTTCTAAATTGAAGCCAGATCTTTACATACGCACGTGTCCCAGTGTTCGAGGCCAGTGTTTTGACATTGGTTTACCGTCTTACCACAGTGGCACTAGCACAGGCCTTAAGCCTTGTGCCTCTGTGTGTTTAGGAACTACTGTGTACAGTGCTCATGTAATCGTATATTAGAAAATTGGTTCATTTAATGGATGTGTCATGGCTTGAATGTTGGTGGGCACTTTAGGACACATTCTGGAACAGTTGCAGAATAGCCTGCCACTCTCAAAACCCACTTTGAACTTGGAGAAAACAGTACTAAGTTCATGTACAGTACATGTAATTATGAAATGGCTTTTTTATTTGTTTTAAATTTGAGCGTTTAATCTCATGGACGTACATGTTGTTGAGCTGTCATTGTTGAATTTACAGATGCAGTAAGTTCATGTACTTGCAATGGTCTGAACCTTGTAAGTGGAAATGTACAATGAACTTCATGCAGTACAGTAAGGAATCATTTGAGAGATGTGCACTGTGTATGCAGTACGTGTAAAAATGTACCACCTGCACAATTAGCCAAATGGATGTGGCTGGAGATAACATTGAACCACTTACTTTAAATGGCCTAATTTATTCTGTGATCACGTGAACTTTACTGCTGTTGGCAGGCCTATCTTCTCTCTTTTTTCTACACCACCAGCACCTTCCAGATGTGGTACTCGGATGATGCACATTACTTACATGTACACGTATACATGTACATGTTGGTCAGTTCTGTACCATCCACGTACATGTAGTTGTACCGGTAGCGAAAACCGGGGAAACGTACATATGCTGAAATGTAATATTGCATGGTCCGAAAAAGTTACGGATGCAGATTTTTGTCCCCACAACTCGGTCTCAACTTTCCTAAACAAAAAGACGTCCCTTCAACCCAGTGATGGCCTGAGCGTATTATTTGAGCATGAACATACCGGTATTTTCCCCTTTTAACTGACATGATCGAACAGTGTGTATTTACATTGGAGATGCATACATGTACCACACTTACCGGCATACATGTATGTAATGTACGTGTACTGATACCTTTATTTTTGTCCCTTCTAGTTTTCTAGAATACTGCATTTTCAACTTGTGTGAAACTTTCTCACATCTTGCTGGCTAGGCCTACAGTACATGTGTACACTTGTACACAGGTCTATACTTACGTACATTGTATGTGCACTGTGTAATGAAGACATTAAACCAAAGCTTTGACGGTAAATCCTTGTTTTTGAGTTGGCACTTCCAAAAACCGTCTAAACAACACACATATGGATGTAATTTTAACTGGCATTCTAGACCTCCCTCCCTATAAAGCCAAGTCCCGACGCCTCCATGATCCATCCTCAGTATGCATGTAGGCTACATGTACATGTACTGTATAAATGTCCACTACACGTACGTGTACATGTGCGCTTGTCTCAGCATCAAGAATGCATCCCCTCCCTGTGACCTGAGGCAATGGTTTGACCTTAGACTGACTTCCCGCACTTTGTGACTCACTAAGATGCAGCTAACTACCCGTCCACGCTGAAATCTGATTACGGTGATGGTTTTCATATATTCTATGTTGTGTGTATCATGCCGTACAGTATGTACATGTACATGTAGGTTTGTCGGAATGTTATCTCTTTCGTTTCATATATTTTTCATCCGTAACTTTCATTTTTCATACAGAATTCCCAATCTTCTTCATAAATACTGTATCGTCTTCATAACATTAGCATACTGCATGGAAACAATGATTGGTACATGAACAAACCGGTGTGCACAAACTGATGCAGTGCTTACATGTACTGTACATGTATGTAGGCCTACAATCTGACAATTAATGGTATACTCTACATTTAAAGAAAGGGTTCATTTACAAAATGCACAGTGTACATTTATGTGGTTCATTGTTTACTGGAGTTTGTAAACGTAAAAGGTTGTGGATATCATGTACATTTACATGTACGTGTATATAGCAGGGTGAAAAGTATGAAATACATGTACATACATGTATGTACATGTATGTACATGTACTGTACTATCATCCATGTAGATTTGAATTGGTAGAGATACATGTACATGTACTGATGCACAGTAGCCCATGTTGCCCATAGTGCTTGTGGAGAACATTCCTTATGCCTTACATGTACATGTATGGTACCTAAAGAATTTAGGCCTTGATGCATGATCATCTGATTTGATAAAATGGCCATGAATATACAGCTAGTGTGTAATCTATGCATGGGAAGGGAAAATATTTGACCCCTGTAAACTTGCAGTAAATTTTTAGTGTGAAAGAATGATATGTTACAGATTGTTCCCTAGAATGAACAATGGTTTCCTCAAAGTACATGTACTTGAGCAAACCACTTAGGGGAGGACACCAAGTGCACTGCCTCAGTGCATGAACTTCATTGCGGTTACAGATCCGCACACCGCAGTTTTGAAAGCATTCGAGATGTACACGTACATGCACAGGCATATGGTACATGTACATGTACCATGGTAGCTTGGGGTAAGAACTGGTAAACCTCAAATATCAGAGTAAAACACTGAATACGGTATGTATACCGGTACATGTAGGCCTCCATCTGATCATCTGATAGGGCTGGAGGGCTAGAAAATGACTTTTGTCTCCAAATTTCAAGGAAACTTGAAGACAGGTGATTTAAGATAATTTCTAAGTAATTCAAGGGTGCTGGGTCTATAATACTATTTGGACGTTCCTATGTGCCTACATGTAATTCACATTTGTTTTAGCACTGTGGAGACTGTTCAAGATGCATTTGACATAAATACATGTATGTACTACTAGTATGTGTACTTTTACATAGTACTTGTGCATAGCACCTGTGCATAGTATCTGTGCTTAGTACATGTACGTGTACCAGTACATGTACTTAAGCTTGGTTTCCATAGTGACGTAACTGCAACGCAGACATACAGTGTATGGAAACATACCAAACGGAGATGTTGCCGATAACGCAGACAAACGCAAACCAGCCTGCAAACGATCGGCAAAGTTGAGCCAGGTTCAACTTTGACGACTGTCTGCATCGAGTTGCCGTGGTATCCCCATACAAACACGCATGCTGGCATGACCGGCATGCAACTATGTGTCCCTCTCGCTTAGTTCCAGGAATTGTGCATATTTTCTCCTTAATCACCCTTATGATCAACTGCATGTAAATAGCTGACCATCAACGAAATGCAGGAAACTGGAGTAGAGGTTTGGCATCATGAGGTGGTACAGTCAATCTAAAATGGTTTCGGATGCCATTTTGTTTCAATGTTTGGGTGAAATGATGTTATGCACTGTCTCTTCCGTTCGTGTGTACGTCTTTTCGTCTGGTGGACCGTCTGCGTTAAAAACGACCACATGGAAACCAGGCTTGTAGTTGGTACATAAGTTGGAGAGTGAGAAAGCATGTAAATGTAGTTTGACATGTATGCATGGCATGTACATGTACTACACTGTAGTATTTACAAATGTACATGTACTTCTTCCTTCAGCAATTTTTATTCTTTTATATTGGTCGCCTTTCAGAGAAAATTAAAGAGAATTTGGCTTTTTTTATTCTCCTACAGTGTATCTTTTTGCATAATTTGTGTTTGTGAATTAAAGGGTACACAACATGCAGTAGTACAATATGTAA